CTGTTGCCTGCATGCTGTCCTATGCTGCAGCCAATGCAGCTGCATGCATGCGTGAGTGTATGCTGCATGCACGCGTGAATGTATGCTGCATGCATGCATGCATTTATGCATGCATGCATGTGAGTATGGTGCATGCAGGCATGCATGCATGCGTGTATGGTGCATGCATGCATGTGTGTATGGTGCATGCATGCATGCATGCATGAGTGTATGGTGCATGCATGCAGTGTTATGTGGTGCTTCAGGGTTCGACGGCGACGCACTGTTGGGGCTTTCTCGTGAGGAGCTGCATGCACGCGTGCTGCGTCAGGATGCGTGTTTAAAGGGGTTGATGGCGGAGGCCGAGAAAAAAGAAAAAGAAACAGAAAAACAGATCGCCGATATGCAGAGAGAGATAACACATAAGGTCTGAATACCCCACAGAGTTTATTTATTTCTTCTTGCTTGTCTTTGTCTTCGTTTGTCTTTTGTTTTTTTATCGGGTTGTTTTGTTTCTATCTCTTCTTCGTTTCGCTCTCTTTCCCTTCGTTTCTCCTTCTTTTTCTTTGTTTGTTTTTTTGTTTTTGTTTGTTTTTGTTTGCCTTTTTCTGTCTTTGTTTATCTTATATCTTTTTATGTTTATACCAACTATGTATTTATTTATTTGTATCTGTATAACATTTAAATATTTATATATATTTATATATTTATTTATTTAGTTATTTATTTTGGGGGTCTGTACCTTATTTTTGTTCTGCTGTCTGTGTGTTGCACAGCTGCGAGAAGAAGCAAAAGAAGCACTGGAGGCCCAGGTAAACGACTTACTAGGGTTTAGGGTTTAGGGTTTAGGGTTTAGGGTTTAGAGTTTAGGGTTTAGGGTTTAGGGTTCTGGCGGCCTGTTTCGGGAGCTGCCCAGAAGTAGCCAGACCTGCGTCTCCGTTCTTTCTCCGACTAGTGTTTAGGGTTTAGGGTTTGGGGTTTAGGGTTTAGGGTTTAGGGTTTAGGGTTTGGGGTGTATGTACACCGCAGGCGAAGGCGGCTGTGTCGTTGGTGGAGACACGGAGCTGGGAGTTGTTTGAAAAGCAGCAGCAAATGAAGGAGTGGGCGGCTGACAACGAACAGAAGATGCTGCTCCTCGAGGAGAGGGTAGACGACATGCAACAGGTAAACCCTAAACCCTAAACCCTAAACCCTAAACCCTCGTTGGCTTTCCCCTTGTTCTCCCTTTTAATGTTGTCGTTCAGGCTTTCGGGTCTAGGGTCTAGGGTTTAGGGTTTAGGGTTTAGGGTTTGTGGTGTCTACAGGCATTTGGGGGTCTGGTGAGCCGCCTGAACTGCGCTGTGCTC